AGTTAGTTGACGTGCCCGGAATCACTAAAACAATCAAACTAATCATGATTTGTTTCATCTCTTCTCTTCATCATTTATTCGATAGGAACTACCACCTTCGTTAATGTTTGTATTACAGGAGGCCCTGATTTTGTGACGTAAGGCGAGCTAGAATTTCCTACATAGAGTAACTAAAGCGCCTCCATCTTTTCAGCAAATTGAAGCCATGTTTTTTGCAGTCAAAACGGCGCCCTTAGGAGAATGAGGGTATTCTAGTATTCCGCTTGGCGCTGGTTACGGCCGGGTGGGCGCCTTGCATAAATCCTCTTATTCTGTTTTCCACGACCAAACACCAATTATTCAACAACGGAATGACAATATGTTAGGAGAACAAATTGAGAAACTTTAATTAACGTTCCTTCCTGCATCTGTTATTGTCTTAAGAATTGAAGCTGTAGAAATGTAGTTAGCATACAGCCTGAAAGTGAATGTTATTGCAATAAGAAACAAAGAAACGGATTAAAAATAAGGCGTCAAACTTGAAAAATGATGTATTTGTGGTTTGATGATTTCTATTTTTACAGTTATATGCCGAATATAATAAAGACGTTGAGAATACTATTATTTGAACCACTAATATAATTTAAATAGGGGTAAACGAAAAGACAACAATATATAAATTCGATCTGATATAAACAAGACACCATCATGTTTTTACTGGAAAAAACATGGCGGCATCGAGTGTCGCCCACGAGCGCTGAAACCATAGAGTCAGCCACTCTACGTAGTACGTTCTAGCTCGTTGAGGTAGTGTGAGCCATTGTTGTTTCATGCAAATTCCTGTTTGTGTAACTGAGTCGGAGCAAATAAAATGGTTCGATGTCACACTTTTCCGGTTTTGAGTTAACAGTGGGAAACTGTTCTTAAAATATAAATTCAACGTTCCATGCAAAAAAGGTCTTGTCTATGACCTCTGTGACGTTAGTAAAGTGTCAGGTGTCAATATTAAGAAAAAATTTTCGATGTGCGGAAATTAGAACCTTTGTGCTAGCTCTTCAAAATTTTGAAGCTCCTGGACATCGGCCGATTTTGTTTTCTCCGATTCAACTGGTATATCGTGGTTATAACTACTGAATTTAAAATAGTTAAAAGCAATGCTACAATCCACAGGAGTTGTTCAAATCTACGAACACTGCATTACCTAATTTATTACCCCAAATTCCTTATCTATTTACAAAAAAACTTACCATCAGGTGAAAAATCAGTGTACATCTAAGAGACATGCTCCGAGTTTCGTAATATATTATCTGTTAACAGTTACGGACTAATTATGTGTTATAGATAACTATGAGTTAATAGTTATTGAGAAGAGTTTAATAATAGTGAAATTTGGTGAATCTGAAGATTTCTAATTGTAAAGTTTATGTTGGGTGAATAAAGAGTGTTTGAGTGGACGTACCTCTTTCATTCATGGAACACATCAAAATTAACGTTATTCTGCAATTTTTTAATGTGTGCTTTATTTCCTTACGTCTTTTGGAAGCTTTCTACCAGGCGTAAGTTTTTTTCGCACAGTGTTGTTAGGATGAAAAACGCACGGTGACGACATACGAATTTTTCAGATGTTTTAAGAAAATACTAACTTCACGCACGGGTAGCAGCACGTAGAAACCCACAGTTTTAAACGATCGTAGAAAAATGTAATTTCGTAAAATAACGTCATTAAAATTTACATTATAAATGTATTTCATCGTTTAATATTTTTTAACTAATATGCTACATGGTATCTTTAATTATGTTTTTTTTTTAAAAATCGTACGTTTTTTAGTATACCGAAACTAAAAATGACGAATTTTGGCAAACGTTCCAAACATGTTTTCTCAAAAACGGCTGCAATTTTTTTTTAGAAAATCTCCATATTGAAAAAGTGTTCAATTCTCTACGATATTGAGAAAGCGTCATTTCGATCAAGACATTTGGGGCCTGAAAAGTAAAAAAAGATTATTGAAAATAGAGGTTCTAAAACAGTACGTACTTTCTCACCTTTTGTGATAGTTATATATTACTATTTATACAAGTATTTCCGAATTAACAATCCTCAGTCACAATTTTTTGTAAAACTCATTACAAATCGTACATTTGGTGAAAAAACTAAATATTTTCAAGCAAATATCAACACAAATTGGACAAGTATAACTGCTTTTCATACAGCTACATCATGTCCCAACAATGAGACGTAATTCACAGAACTGCTGTTGATTTCCACTATGATATTCCCTGAAGACTAGCAATTTTTATTTCATAAATTTTAAATAGGTTTTAAATAATTTCTAAAAGATTAATGTGTAAATGTATAACGAAGGGTCGAATGTAAGAAACGAACAAAGAAATATGAAATAATATACAAATTCTAACTTGCGAAGCATTCAATTGCCTGCAATTACGTTCACGAAGCGTAGTAAATTCGGAGCGGGAAATTATGTTTGTCGTCAAAATACACAAAAAATACTAATATTTTCAAACAATTCAACATACCCACATTTGAAGATCTGTTTTTGATAATCATATTTCATTAAGAAGTTAGTGGTGCTAAAAAAGAACATACTTTCTCGCCCCTTAGTAACGGTTATGTAATAATATTATACCGCATTTAATCTATATCAACACAACTCAGTCGATCAGCGCTTGCAAAAAAGCGCACATGCAGTGATGGTCGCTGCCAACAATGAGCACTATTTTCTTATCAATTCTTCCTAAAAGCGCCCTTTTAGTCATAAATGGAAGGTGGCACGTAGTTGGTGTGAAACGTAAATATTTTATTAATTACAAGCAAAAATTGCTCAATGCTACTCTTTTTTTGAAAAAATTGTACATGACCATTCTTGAAGAGCTAATTTTGTGCAACGAACTTCGTCAGAGACAAAATCTTTATCTCCAATTGTGAAGTTTTATATTTTTTCCAATTTTCGAAAACTCGAAGATGTCAACGAAAATGAGATCACCATTCACTTAAACGCCTTTTTCACTGTCAACAACAACATTTAATCAAAAAATTTGGAGCAATTTTTTTGAAAATTTTGAATATGTCCCAGTAGCTTCATGTAAACTACCCCCAAAATTAAAATATCAGTTTCAAATTCCAGGGTCCGCGACATCAGCTAGAACGATTGGGGAATATCAATTTTGGAGAAAATCGGCTGAACGGTTTATGCGCTAGCGTTGTGCACAGACGGAGGGACAGGCAAACAGACGTTTTCCCGTCAATCGATTTTTCGGTATGAAGGGCGCACAAACATGGATTCTGGCTACAGTAAGTGTTCGAAGAATTTGTTTTCTATATTAAGCAACTGGATTTATTAACTTTTTCGTTACCATGGCCCGATAATAAGAGTTTTTGAGTCGAAAATTCGCCGTTTTCCGACGCACGATTACAATACTTTCTCTTCTTGCGTTAGTGAGTGCGAGAAAGTAAAAATATCGATTGTACAGAAATGAAAAGTAAACCACAGTGTTCAATGAAATGTTCTCTAAATATTCTGTCTTACAAGATTTTGTAAAAGGTTTATAAATATTAAGAAAAGTATGGCTTTTCTTGCCCGATTACAAAATGGCAAGTGAAAAGAGGGAGAAATCGGTTACCATGGTATGAAGTTTGAATAAACAATCTGTTTATTTTGTATATCAAATGAAGTAAACAAACATGTTGGCCATAGAACACAGAGGTAAGTTAAAAATCATCAGGGTACTGAATATAGAGGCTCTGATGGAAAATATTGAAAGAATAAAAAAGTGTGGTAAATTTTTCTTCATAGTTTAGTACTTACGTAGTGATTATATCATGTACATTACTTGGAATTGTTTTATAAATGTTTAATCGATAGTTGTTGGTCTGGTAACGAAGTTGGCAATGCAAACCAAATCATGGAATTTACATTTTCTGAAGAAATACCACTAAGGAGTACGTGATTTAGAAATATATTTCTTTTGACAGCTTCAGAGTGAATGATAAAGCTATATGTTGCGTTCAATCGTTTTAAATGGTTCGTAGTAATGCATTTGTGATTAGTGAAGACAAAGATATTTTCCCTCACTTAAATGGAACGATCAAACTGAGTTATTATCCAGTATAACTCAATAATGTAACAATTTACCCTGAAGAACATAACAGGAAATTTTACTAAGATATAAGGAGAAATGCATGAAGTCATACAAAAAACATTTCGTAACATAGCGAATTTTCAAAATATTGTGATAAATATAAAACAAACCGGCAAAATCTTGTGTTTTTTTGTAATTAAGAAAGAAAAAAAATTTCTTTCTATTAATATGTAAGATATTTGATTCAGTTCCTTAAACATGTATTAATTTTAAAATTAACAGAAAGATAAATGTGTGTGTTTTCAATAACTCATGCTTATTTTCAGAAACAATTTCAAGCTTTTTCAAGTGGCAGAGCAGCAGATTAAGAAATTGATGGATGAAGCAAACCAAGACCATTTGGTAAATCCCCTCGTTTACTTAATGCAATGTTCTAAAAAAATAGATTTTAAAATAAGATAATGTACAGTTTTTCAAAACAAGAGTAGATATCACATAATATTTGCTTGAAGTAAAGGTAGTACTTTTTATTCTGTTTTTCAAAAAGAGATCCAAATTGTTCCTTAACTATTTTCGCTATGTGAAAAGAAATACTTTTTAAAGTTTTTTCTTTGTTATATATGTTTCTATTTTTTAAAATCTAATCATTTAAAATACAAACTGTGCACATAAAAGGAAATTTGATTTTCACCATTTTATAGTTTTCTTTATATAAATTGTTGTCAATGGTATCTGAAATCTTTCCTTGTTTATAATTCTTGACGTTGATACTTTAATTTGAATTCTGTCAATTTTGAGTTATTTGAAAACAAACCTATCCATTTTCTAACTTTAACTGTAAAAATGGAGGGAAAACTTATTTTGAACAATAAATTATTTATAATTCACTTATTTGTGTTGCAGTTTCCGTTAAAAATTTGTCAATCTTTGAAAAATCCTGCAACATTGTCAGTACGAATACCTCTACTACTACAACAAGTTCTAATAAAATTGAAGTAGTGAAGTATTAACAGATTTTCTGCAGCATATTCTGAAAAATTAGAGTAATAAACTCTGAAAACTTCATCTGTAGAATTGATATTTATTTCTCGGTTCCAACTACAATCGATAGTACTGTTCACAAACGTTTATATATTAATGTATGTGAATTTCCTTACCATGAATATCGATAATATACTTTTAATGTCAATTTTAATGAAATATTATGCCATTAAAGAGTCAAATTACTAAACTATCATCCAAGAAGAAAGGTCATAATGTGCCTTTCGTAAGTACTAGCGCTTCTGAATATTTCAACTATCATCTATTACTCTATTGTTTAAAATTTACATATCTCCAAAAATTCCTGCAAACGTTTTTCTTAGATTCTTCATTGTGTCTTCGGTATCTTCTCCATTTTGAGTTGTAGAACCCTGACGCCCGAAAATTGCTCGTGGTGCATCTTCAGCTCTTCGACCAATGCTTGCGGCGCTGCTCACAGTACTTGATAGTGACGCTATAAAAAGAAACACAAAACTTTGTTTACTTAAAATGAAACGGAATAAAATGAGTTCAAAGGTGATAAAACCAAAAATCTTTATGGTACATTTACAGTCTCTAATTATATTTGATGGCTGATGTTCAAGACATAATTGCAATCAACGCAAAATATAAAACCCAATTGAACAGTTCAGGCGACCGGAATGCAACATTTTCGACAAAAATATGATACTACTACTAACATTCTCGCTATATCTATTACTACATTTGTGCGAGTATTGAGTTGCCGGTATAACAAAAGGCGCTGTATTACGGAGACATTTCTTGTTTACTCTGTAATTGTCTAGAGCCCAGCTCTTCACACACACACACACACATACATAGAGTACTTTTTTCTCTTTGTTCCGGTGCGTCCAACGGTGCCCCAGTCACTGCGTGCCTTGCCCAGACTCGCACCGTTAAACATATTCTAAAGCACTCTCAGTAATCCATTTTTAATATATATGTATACAGGTGAGTCACGTGAATTTAGCACCTCCTACGACCTTTGAACGATATTGCAATGCAGTTTTCACAGAAGTGCATGACAGAATGAGGCTAATTGATGTATTGTTTCTATGTTACCACTTGTATTTTACGGGATATCGAGGTAACTTCATTTGATTGATTTTTTCAAATGGAACTATACAAATATTTTAGACTATCATGACGGGCCGAATTATATTTATAAAAGCCGAATGCAATGATATACATATGCTAGATAAACATTTTTGAGTAATATTGATTTTTCGTAACTCACTCAACGCTTTGCCTACTAACGCGCGCTCGGGGCGTTACAATATCCGTTAATGTTGTAACGCCCCGAGCGCGCGTTAGCAGGGAGAGCGTTGCGTGACATTCAAAATATCCGTTAAATACAAGACAAAAAAATATGTATAGTTTCACTTACAAAAAACAAAGTTACCCCAATATCTCGTAAAATACAATTGATAAAACAGAATCGAATACATACCTCAATCATCATTTCCTCATGCTCACATAGGCACAAATGTTAGCGGATCGGAGTGAATGCTTAAATTGTTTGAACAACCATTCTTAAAGCAGAGATTTAGAGCCTTAATTTTTTATCAACCAAAAGCATTTTGCGTTCTTAGTTAGGGCGAAATGGCAAAAGCATCACTTAGAATTGCACGCCCAGAAATAATCAATAAACTTAATAATTTAATGAACGAACATTTTAGCCACAAAACGCTACTGGCATGTGTTAAGATATTAAGGATAGAAACTGCAGGAACTACAGAAACTATCATTTATTGTGTGTGGTTATCTAAAGCACGAGAAATAATTCACACTGAAGATGCAACGAATAATTCGAGCATTCCACGAGTTATGTTAATTTCCATTAGGCTTGGTTTATGTTCATCATACATGGTTGCGCTGCTGCATAAAGTGGTTATAATTATTAACAAAAAGTATTTTAAACAAATTTAATAGAGAAAATTATAGTACACATGATAATCATTAAATAATCTGGTGTACGGCAAGAAATGCTTTCTTCACTCAACAGTTTCTCTGAAAACTAGCAGAATCGACGCAACATCCAGCCCTGTAGAGAGACGCCGAGTCGGTGTCTGTTGTGACGCGGCAGCCGGTTTGAATTCGCCTCCCGAAAGTAACATTTAAACTCAATTTACTTGAGGACAATTTTTTCGGGGAAGGTGGATCTGCCATTATTCATGAAAATCAACACAAAATCAGGAATATTGTTTTTGTAACAGAAACTTCCGGACACCTGTATATACGATTACATTGATTTATTAGTAAACAAGTACAATCGCTAATTACGTATAATATATTCCCATAAAGGCTATTCAAAGTGACTAATTATTCGTATTGGCTAGGGCTGAAGGAATAATTCTCTTCAAAATTTAATCATTTTGTGCTAGCTATTACTAGCCAATATAACTTGGTCACAGTAATAATTTCCTTTTGAGAGGGAGGAAGCCATACCAGCGAAGTAGTTATTAGCCCAACGTATGTCAACGCTAACAGTAAACCACCGAACTACCCGCGGTTTTTAGGCACGATTTTAAAATGAAACTGGCGAAATTCAATAAGTTGGTCTAATTATATTTAATGGATGAAAAATGCTCGTTTATTGCATTAACTTGCAATTACTTATAAAGGCATACCTCAGCGGCGATTCCTACAAAAGTAATTGAGTGTATTAACCTAGGCCACAAATTCAATCTCCTTTGAACGGAAGTATATCAACCTCTATTATATGATTAGAAACATCTGGTCTTAAGGAGCATTGAAGAGTTCGAAAATTTCTTAATGACGATATTTTGTTTAAGGAAATAAGTTAAAAATGATTTTTTTGGCTACATAACACCATTTTGCAGTTTTGATATTTTTATTTCAAGTTTTTGCACGTAGTTTTTCTGCACGTTTTAGAGAGTTTTACTGCACGAAAATCCTGTCTTTAGTCATAAGCAACGGTGAAAATACCCTCAAAGCAATAGAAATGGCACAAAACTGACCGATTAGAAGGATGGGAATGTTTCTTATATTTGACGCCAATAAGAAGACCACTTTTAAGTCATCAACTTAGAATACAGACTTGGACTTGTGATTTATGAGCTGCAACTAGAATGGAATTCCCTTACCAACTAAGAGATTGGTTATGGAAGGCCTCGCGTAAAGTCAAGTATTTTTGGAAGTGGGAATTCAAATACCTCTAATGCGTTTCCTTCCAGGCACTCGATGGAATCTCCGGAAAACCAACTGGCGTAAACATTTCCTAGAACTGGATAAACTGATGCAATAAATACTACATTCTATATAGAGTTATCAATTGATACAACTGTCCAAGTGAGCAGTATACAACTTAGGCGAGATGACCAAATGAAATGTGCTAGAAAAATAGGAAACTTCGTAGTCCGATCCTACACAGTTTTTGGCCATGAAAAACATAAAAATATGTAGAAACTAGTGGCGCTACAACAGCACACACGTTATTGAATTATTTCTAATGTTTGCAATTTCCACAGAGTAAGAGTTCAACGACAAAGGGACCTGTGTCAGGTTTTACAGCGCCCTTTACTCTATCCGTGGAGACAATTTAAAGAAACATTTGGAACATCAAGCAAAAGATTTTGCGTGAAAACGTTTGTTTCTTCAAACACTGGTACAAGTCCTTTTCCAAAGATCTGTTTGTTTCGATCAGATTTCATTTCAGACAAAAATCTCAATCTTCAATATTACACTGATGTAAAGTCAATTTTTTTTGCAATTTTTGAAAATACAGACTTCGCCGAAAATTAAATTAGAACCAATTCTTTTACTGACCTTTGATACATACCAAGTGAGAATTAACAAAAAAAGTTAGAGCCGTTTATGTGAAAAAAGGTTTAAAAATTGCTATTTCACGCAAAAGTTCGCGAAAACGACTCATATTTTCGAAACATTGTACATAACTTTATTTTAAGATGTGTATTTTAACAACAGATTTCAGTACTGAGTACAGTAAAAATCTCTATATTGAATAGTGTAATTATACGACGCCAAAAAGTGTGAGCTTCTGCAATTTTCGAAAATTCAGATACATCAACGAAAATTTTTCCTACGCCATTTTTAAGCGTCGTTTATGCTGTCCGAGGACAAAATGTGATAAAAAATAGAGCAATTTTTGAGAAAATTGTGAAAATATTGTGTCTTTATGTGAAGTACCCCAAAAATAAAAATATTCGTTTCAAACTCACAGGGCTTCGAGTTCGATAATATGAATTGCGGATTATCTATTTTGGAGAAAACCTGCTGAACGGTTTACTGTCTGCACAATTTTCTATATGCTACATTAAAGAGCACACACTTCCATCCACCCACCAGTCGTGGTAACTGGGTAATTCCTAGGAATTTTAGGATCCAATGGGTTCCCTAGACTTCCCCCACGTGTCATTGAAGTTACTTTCCTGCATTTACTACCAGCAATGCTAAATTACTCCATCGTAATTTACAAATTGTGTGTAAAGTTTAATAGAGCTTCTGAGAGCAATTAACGAGATAGTCAGTAGATCGCCTCGAGACGTGATCCCCAGGGTCTTGAGGGCTCCAACTGGGGATCTTAGCATAGCCCCAGAGGTTCCAACCACCACTGGCAGGATTCTGGCGTTGGGTACTCCAAGAAGATTGGGCTGCCAGGGGGATGACTGGTTGGTTTTTTACCACCTTTTCCTCCCCTGCTTTCAGAAGGCTAGATCCACCCTCGTGGCGGACAGTCACATCGACCACGTGGACCCCATCCCAGCTTTTTATTACCAGGTCAGGTTTGAGTCTAACCCCTTTGGCAACGGAGAAAGTGGCTTCCGTGGACGCTTCCGTGGACACCACCGTGTCCGATTTCAAGAGCATCTTCCGTTCTATGAAGTTTTTGATCTCGTCATGACACTTTATTCTTGCTGACTTCGTAAAAATAGAGGAAGTAATTTACTACACAGAGGAACAAGACTCATCCTCCTGTTTGTTACTAGGGCCCCGCAATTAGAATTTGTCGGTCGAAAATTGCAGATTTCCGGTGCATGATTACATTTTTTTCTTATGAAATAAGGCGAGAAAGTAAAAATGGAAACTCACAAAAAAATGCTCGGATTTTTGCCACTGCTCAACATCAGAAAGACGTCACAAAATGGTAATCAGAATCCTGCAAGGGAACTTTGATATCCCTAGACTTACCACAGAAATTGAAGCACAAGTTGTTACCTAGTGGAAAGTTGTTAAAATAGGGACGGCACGTCAAACGGAGAAGTTCAGTTTCTTACTTATAAGGGATGCTGAGGGTGGTTCTACTTCACTAGAGGTCCTGTCAAACAGTTTGAGAGGAGTTGCGGATGCGTGTGCGTGTAATTGTTTCTTCACGAAACTTTCAATGTTTTTGTTGAAAACCACTACAATTTCATCAACCTAGTGAATCTTAACAAGCTTCTTTTTGTCATTAACTTTTGGTGAGTAAAGCAT